AAAGCTCATTGGCCAACCTGTAAGTCACATGGGCTACTCCTGTGCACCAACCAGGGAAACTGCTGGCCACTCAAGCTCCACCCAGCTGGGCAGGGCTCACTCATGTGCTGCCATTTTGGGAGTTTCATTTACATAAGGTCAAGCATCTACCCTAAATCATACATGGGCTATGATGTCTGGATTAATAGTTCAAATGATAAATCTCTCAAATGTCAGTAAAACAAAAAAGGGAAATACCGATATAGTCGGGAATATAGCATTGGAAGCTGATGCAAAGCAAGACAAGGTTTCTCTTCAAAGGAAGTGGGGATATCAAGCCTTCTAGGACGACAGTTACATATGTAAAGTGTAATTTATATGACAATATAACGCAATTTCTTTATTATAAAAGCAATATGTTTTCTGAGAGGACACCATACTTTAAATAAAAGCTCCATTTATTTATTCTTCTTAAAAATTAGGACACAAAACTTCTTACTGTGGCTTATTATTCCAACACCAGCAGAAAGCAAGCATAATTGCTCAACATCAAATCCAGCCTGTTATAGGAACATGTAACACTATCATTGCATAGACATTGATTTCAATTATATATACATATACAGTAAATATTGAATAATTCAGTCTAGTGACATTTCTTGATGCCAGAGAGCAGTTCTGGATACATAACCATGTCAGAAAAATCTCCAGGCTCAAGTTGATCACAAGCAACATCTTGTATTGATGTATAAAGGTTCTTTTTACAGTTATAGCCATGTGCTTTCATTTTAGGTTTACTTATACTGTACCTATGAGTTTCCTTCCTCTTCAAAACACCGGCAAGCATTGCAAGTAAAGTCATTTTTTACAATATCAGGATCACCAGACTTTCACCAGGAAAGCAGGTTGAAACGTTTCCCATTTCATTACAAAAACTGAAAACGTAAATCCTACATAAAGGTCTATATAGATGCAGAACTTCCTCTAAAGCACTTTATTACAGGCTATTGTCACCTGCCTAACGCAGGCCTGAGAAACAGTAGAGAGGACATGATTTGCTTTATTACATGGAAATCAAGGTCATTTCAATTACAAAAAATGAACAAAACATCAACCAGGAAAGAATGCTTCAGCCAGGGGGGGGAGAAAAAGGAGATAAAATCCTTGATTTTGTTAAAAAGGCTCAGATTAAACATCATCTGAATGAAAGGACTTAAACCTTCCTCCAGAGTGCCCCAATACAGTGTAAATTACAGGTTATTAACCTAACCCTAATCCTAAATCGCCTGTTTCTAAGGATTGGGAAGGCCTGTTCATGGTGTTGTCCCACCCTGGGCCCTGTGACTCCAGAATTGACTCCAGTTTGCTGTGACCCTGAACAAGAATAAGCAGTTTTCTGATGGACTGTTGGAATGTTAATATGGTAATTATAAGTTATAGATGAAATAAGCAAGTAATTTGTTCCGTTAAGGCAGATAATTCTGAAACAAATCACTCCTGTGTGTCCAACCTTTTTTCAAAGCCTAAGAGATACAACAGAATCCTAAACTTATTTTAGGGTCTCTTTCTTAACCTAAGAGTGGCAAAAAAACACCAGATTCCAAACAGCGCTGAATGGAGGTTTTTGACCCAAACAATCTTTGCTAACTTGTTAATACTTTTAACACGTGTCTTGCTTAATAGATCACAGTTAATTTATTCTAGGTTCTTCAAAGTTTGTGACATACTGCAGTCGTTACCCAGAAAACCCTGCACCAGGGATGGAGACCCACGGTCTAACTTAGGGCTGAAGCCTTCTGGGTTTCAAAAAGGAAACTGTTTAGCTCAGTAGCATTGCGGTCCAATCGAGACACTGCACACACTGTCTACATACATCCCTTTTAACAATGAGGGCTTTTACAGATCAGAGAAAGGAGAACAAAAAAGTTCACAAAACCTAGAAAAGGTCTGTGGTGCCACTTTCTGAGTCCAACACTCATTGACTACTAGTATGCACAACACTTGGATACACAGCCATGGAAACACTGCTGGTGAACACTAGAGTATCACAGCACTTTAGCCCTGTCGCTCACAGGTTTAAAGATTTCAACACCTGTTTGCCTTCTATTAAGTGTCTGGTTTGCGTCCTTCCAAACAGCATGGGAGTTTTCCAATGCAGTGCTCTCAAGGACAGGACCGAGGACCGAGCAGCTCAGTACTGGCTCAGTTATGAGTGTGTATCCTAAGAACGTAGTAAACTGCACAGTTCCAGTAGACTTCAGACTTGTTCCACGGCTCCACCAGCTTTGCTGCTGAGATGTTATGTGTTCTCCAAGGAAGAGGAGCTGTGCACAGACACCGGAACAGGCTCCGTGTCTGTGGCATAGAGGACAAAGACGTTCTGGTGCATCTCCACCCTAGGGAGTCTAAATTCGTTTTCCGTGAGGCCATTTTCATTTCGATACTGGCTTCCTGAAGCACAGCTGTTGCTGCCCAGATTCCCCATGGGCAGGTTGGTCTGAGCTGTTGAGGACCACATCTTCTTGCGAGACCTTGTCCCCAGTACCCGTGAGACACGCGTTTTCCTGTAGTGGGAAAAAACAAAAAGAGGAGACAATTCTGGTTCGGGTTATGAGGTAATGACTAAATTTTCTTCTACTGCAGTTTTTAATTTTTGTCTAATGTAACAGAGAAACTGGAAAACCGATAAATTGAATGAAACAGACTGAGTGTCTGTTTGACAAATCACACGGAGCAGAATAGATGTATATTGTACTTATTCTAGACCCCAGGAGTTAATGATCCTGTTGCTCAAGCCCCACACAAATGCAGGTTTTAGCACAAGTTCGCACTGAACTCCTAATTGACTTGATAATTGGGTTAATTTGAACTGTATGTCCATTTTTGGCTTTTACCCACCATAAAATCACAAGTTAGGTATAATTAAGACTTTGTAAATCTTAGCACAGAATTGTAATAAAATAGTAATGTTCAGCAATCAAACAGTTCCAGTCAGAATCTAAAAAGAGCACAGGGCTACATACAGTAGCTATTAGTTAGGAATTGTTTATGTAACTGGAATGTGTTATGTAGCGTGAAATATTTCTGTAGATTTTTTTAAAATAATCTGAATATTTTACCTGTTATATATCATTAATATGATCAGGATTATTCCAAGTATGATAGTAATCCCAATGACAATTACAGCAATCATAGCCCCCGAACCTGAAAAAAATAGACAGCAGTTTTAATAGAATATTTTTGTCTCATGAGTCATTTATACCTACAAGTGTAGGATCACAGTGTCTTGAGAAATGATCCTACAATATTCTACAGGTTAAATCATAATGAACTTTGGGCTTTAGTGTCTGAAGTCACAGTTAATTTAACAAAGAGGATCTAAATGATTGTGGTGAAACACTCGGCACTGACAAACGTTACACAGGAGCGACTACTTCCTAACGTGTTTTGCATTAATAACTTGGTGTTATGGAGTAAGCTGAGCAAAAACTCATTTACAACGGGACCATAGGAGTTCATCACTTCTACTTAGAAATGCAGACATCTGCCGTCAGTACCCCTTACCTTGCATTTAAACACACACCCGCTGTATGTGACATGAAAGAAATAACTGTTGTATGTGATGCCTCGGGAGTAACTGCAAGGCAGGGGCAACATTAGCAGCCATTGTGCCAGAAGTGATAATATTTTCTGTGATTCCAATACCATTGGTAATGGTCCCTCAGACACCCAATCATGGTAATAACCTGGCTGGACCCAGATTGTAAACCCCTCTGTAACACTGCTGGAATGCAGGATGGCGTGGGGCCTACAGCTGGTATTTGTCTTCTCCCATTGTCCTTTGGAAATGGCTGCTTTTGTCACAAATTAAACACATCCCAGACCTTCACCGAACTGTGCCATTCTGGAAACCCTACAAGAAACAAGCAAGCGATGCAACGCTGGCGTCTTACTCTGAATGAGAATCTGCTCTCTGGACATGGTGGTGGTGTTCAAGGGAGCTGTGGTGACACTTGGCACTGGCTGGACTCTTGTACCCTGCATCTTCAGGGACCACCTGGAGAAAAAGAAAACATTTAAAACTGAACCACGTTTGTGTTTTTTTATCAAATAAAATAGATCTCAGCCAGGGGAGTTCTCATTTTCCCTTTTAGGAAGGTGTTGAGATTTTAACTTTGGACACAACAGGAGACCGGGTGAGTGACAGGGCACCTGAGCAAAGACAAGGGCACGGTTCAAAGAAAATATCAGCGAGATTAAACGGGAAGACCAGCCATCCATTTTCTAACCACTTCATCTAACACAGGATCCTCGGGGGAGCTGGCGCCTACCCTGGCAGGCAACAGGACAGGGTGGGGTATGCCCTGGGCTGGACGCCAGTCCATCCATGATCAGACACAGACACTCACACACTCACACCAGGACCGGCCTTCCCAGAATTCACCTAGTACGGCTATGGACTGTGGGAGGAAACTGGAGCTAAACTGGCATTCATGAAGCACACCTCAGCATGTTTAATTAGGCCAGAAGTGGTAGCAGTAATTGTTTCGAAAATTAATTTTTAAAGAGGTTTTAAAGATGTGTCAGGATGAGGAATATCCCCAGAGCCTACGTGACATGGAGAACTGCTCTGTGTGAAAATAAGTAAAACATCTCCTTGAAGAGACACACTCATTCCTACATTAAGTCACAGGAATGAAGCATGGTCACCTGGGGCCTCTTAATTACGCACTTACATTGACAAGAATGATATTCCCTTTGCCTGTCAGAAAAAACATCCTATTTATTCTTGGTGGCTCTACACACTGTACTATCCCATATAACTTTGAGTGCTTAAGATGTCAGTTTTTAATTACTTAATTGTTTGCAAGACTTGCTGTTGTGAACGAGTTGTTAAGGATTCTGGAATCAGAACTGGAAGGTTGTGTGTTCAAATTCCAGGTGAGACACTGCGGTCGTAACCTTGGCGAGGTCCTTCAGTCAAAGCGCTATAATAAAATACCCACCTGTTGGAATTAGCAGAAATGTAAGTTGCTTTGGATGAAAGTTTCACCCAGATGAATTGAAAATAACTAGTTAAAGGGTAGCATAAGAGTTCTAAGAAGTATAAGATGAGGTGATTAACAACTGACAGCGGTGAGGGAGAATGACATTAGACACATTTCAAGCATCCAAGCAGAAAAAAATAATGAAGGAAGGAAATCCATTCCTCCACCACTTTCTAACTGCTTTGGCCAATTCAGGATTGTGGGGGAGCCTATCCCAGCAAGCAACAGGCACAATAGATTTGCAATTCTGGTATTAGCATTTGGTATAAGCAATTTGCCCAATGAGGAAATCAGGCTCAGAATCACAATCAAACTCAAAAAACGTTCTGCCTTCTAGAAACATAGTATCTTTATGCCTGCTCCTTCTATATTCCAAAACATGTGAGGATGGCTTCAAGTATAAGCAGATTTTATTTTTCTTGCCTTTTTAGACACCAGCTTCCCTGGGGTAGTGTTATAGGATGCTTTAGATTACACAATATAGCTACCTGTGAACAGATTGCTCCTCTAAACTTTGTTCATTAAGAGCTAAACTTGCAACCTTTCACAACTAATTACATACGAGCACACCTAGAGATCCCGGACAGCCTTTGTATGTTTCAGAATCTGACAGAGCCAGAAGGAACTTTAAGAATGCAAGATGGAATGCAGTAATGACATGGAAAACAACAGATAAAAACGTCACATCTTTTACATTTCGCATAAAGCCAGTGCTGTTGATGTCAATGAATAGGAAAATAAGCATCTGATACATTCAAGTGCTTCAGGTCCCTTCTGTCAGAGGAGGTGGGGAAATGCCCCTTTATTCTGTTCAAGTTATGCTTTACAGGTAATGGGGACTCCCCTCCACCACCTCCAGTGTGAAGACCCACCTGGATGATGCGACAGCAGCCAGAGTGCGCCGATACTCTCACCACACACCAGCTACCTGTAGGGAGAAGAACAGAATGATAAAGCCAATTAATGGATGGGGATTATTAGGAGGCCATGACTGTTGAGGTCAGCAGAAAACCTCTACTCTTTTCGAGAAACACCCTGGGAATTTTTTAATGACCACTAAGAGTCAGGACCTCAGTGCTATGCCTCACCCTGATGTCGTCACCTTTTTATTACAGTATAGTCTTTTTATCTGGAGGCATTAGGACCCACACACTGCAGGGTGAGCGCCCCCTGCTGGCCCCATGAACACCTCAAATTACTGACGTATCTGCACCTTACATTGTTTCATTTCCCAGTGCAAATTCCTTTAGAGTCTCAGAGTTTCCGGTTAGGGGTTATGGTATTGTACATTTGGAGTTTATGAAACCATTTGTCGATGACACTCTATATGATGTTTCTCGGTTTCCTTGAATGAAAGGTTTAGATAAATAATACTATCGAAGTACCTCAACAGTTATAAGCATTTTCAAAGACAATAGAAGTGATATTACAGCCAATACCTAAATATACAGTATTCTAAGCCATTATACAAAGTTTGTAGTATAACAAGCATTTGAAAACAGCAAATATATGGTAAACCTTCAGAAGAGAATGTCACCAGGGAAATATTAAGGAGTTCCCATGAAAATCTGAAACACAGATAACATTTAACAAGGTTGGATCTTTTTTAATTGATTCAATTGGACAATTTTGGTGTTTTTCACAAATGCCCATATTGTTCAATGCAACAGTGAAGACCATCA